CACTGTCCTTTCTTTCCCCCCTCCTCTTTGGTTTTGTTTTTTTATTTTGTGGTAGTCTGACCCTTGGTTATCATTGCAGAACTATGGAGGTGCAATGAGACCCCCACTGAATGCTTTAGGTGGCCCTGGGATGCCTGGAATGAACATGTAAGCAAAATAATAAACTACTCAAACCTTTACAAAAATAACCATTTCCTTTTTAAAGAAAAGATAATAACTGTTACACGTATGTAGGATGAGGGAGAATGTGCATTAATTGAGTCATATTAACAGTTGTGTTAAAACAAGGAAACACTACAATGTTCTCACTCTTCTGCAAAGCAACTGTTACAGTCTCTTCTTTTCTCCATCTAAGTGTGTTCATATGTTGGATTTTTTACAGGTTAATGTCAAAGTATTGGGATATTTTTTTGGTACAAGCTCTCTAGATTTTTTTGTATATTTATTAAGAATTGTATGTTTATTTCACTGACTGAACAGTAAATCTGTTTGCCATGAATTCTCTCACACAAGAACTTTGTTAAAAACAGCGTAGGTGTGATGCAAAAGTAAGCAAGTGCATAGTTTGGACAGAAGGAAGCCATTGTTTTTAAATAAAAAAATGGGTGAACATTAAAAAAGGAATGTCCTAATTCTGCACTGTTACAACTTCCTTTATTTTGTGTTGAGACACTATTGTGACTTCACTATAACCAGATAAAACCAGTATAATGGAATGGACAACCAGGTCTGAGATACTTTGGCATACTGTTTGGCATAAAAAGGCTTCTTGGGCTAGATTATCAATTGATATAAGGTGGTGTAAAATGATTACACCAGTTTATACTGCCTCTAGATTTTGTTCACCAAGTTTTTTCTTGATCCCTGTAGACAACTCACATTTTCTAAGCCTGCAGAGTAACTTCATATATCAAACAATTTCAGTTTTTTCTGGGATAGAATAAGTTAAAGCTAAGGATTCAACATAGTAAAGGCACAAACTTGGAATCTTTGGTGTTTTTGATGGGTCCTACACTTTCTTCAAGATGATATTATGGCTGACAAGCCAGGAAAGACCTAATGTGTCCCATACATTGATTGTTTAGACTTACACCTGCATAAATTCAAAGACGTTAAGCCAGAAGAGACTATTATAATCATTTTCTGTATAACAGAGGTGCAAGAATGAGATGCAAGACATTGAAAATGTTATTACAATTTAAAACAAAGCAAGTCTTCTTCCACTGCTTCCTCCTACTTCTTATGTCTCAGGATCGAGTTTTCAAGAGGTTTACAAAGAAACATATATAAATTATGTAGACCTATTATCTTACCATAGCTGCATTTTTACTCTTAATTTTATAGTACTTTTAAGTGGGTCAGTAATGTTTTTTTATTTCAAATCAAAGGTTGCAAACCTAAAAAGGTTGAAAAACATTGAGCTAGAATATATCTTTTAGAGACATCCAGTCGTGATTTTAAGATTTCAAGTGATGGAAAATCTACACTGCCCTTGTTTAAGGTCTTCTCATCTTCAGGCAGGTCTTAAATTCTTGAAGCAAAGAATATCAAATACAATCTAGAGTTGGTGTTATGCTATTACAAATATATTATATTGTTCTTGGAGCTACCTGAAATATATTCAATGTAACATCATCCCTTCTTTAAAATAAAATAATATAAAGAAAATAGCTAAGTGCTTGAAATCAAGCATGGATACAGCACAAATAATACATTCCAAAAATAGTCCTCAGGGAAGAAGGTACTGGGTAGCGTGGGGCCCCTGCAGGACATGCTTGGAAATCTGGTGGTCGCACCAGACAATAAAGCTGACCTCTTTAACAAATTCTTTGCCTCAATTTTTCTGAGCAGGAACCAGGACATCCCCCCCCACCGGGATTCTGGACGGACTCAGGAGAGGCACCGCCAGGCCTAGGGTCAGAGAGGACCTAGTCAGGGAACTTCTGGTGGTTCTGGACATGTTCAAATCAGCAGGTCCAGATGATCTCCACCCCAGGGTAATGAGGGAATTGGCAGAGGTCATTGCGGGACCCCTGGCACAACTTAACGAGCACTGGAGGTGCTCTGGCGAGGTGCCAGAGGACTGGAAAAGGGCCAACGTGATACCCATTTTCAAAAAAGGAAGGAAGGAGGACCCAGGAAACTATAGACCTGTTAGTCTTACCTCGGTCCTGGGAAAGCTCTTTGAGAAAATTATCCATGAGCAAATCTGTGAGGGACCAGCAGGGGAGATTATGCATAGGGGCAACCAACATGGGTTCATTAGAGGCAGGTCCTGTCAGACCTACCTGGTTGCCCTCTACGACCAGGTCACAAAATCCTTGGACGCAAGTATCGCAGTGGACATAGTCTTTCTGGACATTAGGAAGGCCTTCGACACTGTCTCTCACCCCATTCTCATGAAAAAATTAAGCGATGATGCCTACACAGTCACATGGGTTGTAAATTGGCTGGAGGGCCACACCCAGAGAGTGATGGTGGACGGGTCATTTTCAACCTGGAGGGATGTGGGCAGTGGGGTTCCCCAGGGCTCAGTCCTTGGATCTGCACTGTTCAACATCGTGATCAGTGACTTGGACGAGGGGGTGAAAAGCACCTTGTTCAAATTTGCGGATGACGCTAAGATGTGGGGAGAAGTGGGCACACTAGAAGGGAGGGACAAGCTACAACTAGATCTGGACAGGTTACAGGGGTGAGCAGATGAGAATAGAATGGGTTTCAGTATTGACAAGTGCAAGGTACTGCACCTAGGGAGGAAGAACCAGCGGCATACCTACAGGCTGGGGAACTCCCTTCTCATCAGCACAGAGGCAGAAAAGAATCTTGGAGTCACTACTGATTCCAAGATGAACATGGGCCACCAATGTGAGGACGCAGTCAGTAAGGCTAACCGCACCTTGTCATGTATCCACAGATGCATCACAAGCAGGTCCAAGGAGGTGATCCTCCCCCTCTATGTGACATTGGTCAGGCTGCAGTTGGAGTACTGCATCCAGTTCTGGGCGCTACACTTCAGGAGGGATGTGGACAGCATCGAGAGGGTCCAGAGGAGGGCCACTCGCATGATCAGTGGTCAGCAGGGCAGGCCCTTTGAGAAGAGGCTACGGGACCTGAACCTGTTCAGCCTCCTCAAGAGAAGGCTGAGCAGGGATCTGGTGGCCATCTATAAACTTAGCAAGGAGGACCAGCGTGGAACAGGAGAGATCCTGTTCCCCAAGCACTTCCAGGAGTAACTAGGAATAACGGTCATAAGTTGACTGAGAGTAGGTTCAGGCTAGACATCAGGAGGCACTACTTCACTGTCAGGGCGGCTAGGATCTGGAACCAACTTCCAAGGGAAGTGGTGCTCGCTCCTACCCTGGGGGTCTTCAAAAGGAGGCTAGATAATCACCTAGCTGGGGTCGTTTGATTCTTGCCCAGGGCAGGGGGTCGGACTCGATGATCTGCTCAGGTCCCTTCCGACCCTACCCTACCAACTATGAAACTAAGAGACTCCATTACAGAAAAAGAAATCCAGACTTTTTTATTTAAGAAATAGATATGATTTAGTAATAGAAAAGTAGTGAAAGTTAAAAAATATATATTAATAAGTAATGCAGTTTACCTTGTGTCAAGGCAGTTACACATCCATTTAAAGCAGCCACACAAGAAGCAGGAAACTTCTTATTTTTCTTAAGAAAGCTAACATTTAACTCCGTGTAATCCTACAGCTCTTCAGCAGCACCATGGAGCTTTTTTTGTTTTTCTCTGCCTTGAAGTTTCCTCCATGACCTCTACTTAATTTACAAATTTCAGCAGCTTGTTAGATGCAAGTCAAGTGAGCTTGAAATGAGCTATCAGGTATCAGACGCAGTCTGGTCATTGCTGCTTATGCTCTGCTGAGCTCCTTGCTGTCCTAGCTAGACTGCTTCCAACACTTGGAGCCAGCTATTGAAAGCTAACAGGAATATCGCTGCACTATGCTGCAGACTGCAGTGTGAACATTGGTCTTTTTAAGCATTTACATTAATCCAAGTATTACCTGCTGTGCAATATCATGTTTACATTCTGTGTCACATCAGTGTTTTGGATGAGGAAAGAGCTACAGTATTGTGATGAGTTTTCTTAGATAACGGGGACCTAGAAATCTAAGTATTGTGCATGGCAGAAAATAGCAAGAAGCTGAACATCTCACCTTGTAATTACTAGCCAAGGAAGGCTTGTTGAATATTTGTCTTGAGCCTGCAAGAACTGCTTGTGTCAGGAAATTCCTTGCATGAGAAACTATGAATGCTTTTTTTTCCTCATACACACAACTACACAAGACTGCCTACAGTCACTGTCCAAGTCCAGATATCCTCCAAAAAGCATGTTGCACAGATGGCCACATACAGAGTAATGATGTTTCATGTCAGTACAAGAACCAAAAAATTTAAAAAATAATTTTAAAAGACACAGATCGACTTGAAATGACATTTCATAAGGATCAAAACAACCCAAAAAAATCATTTCAAGTTGAAAGATTTTGTGTCATGTTATTTAACTCTTTTTAAAACACTTGTTTTCAATGTGCCCGCGCCGGGGGGGGAGGGGGGTAATGTTTATTCATGGATTTAAAAAATCACTCAGTTCTAGCTATGCCTCTTCCGTAGAGTAGTATATGTTTTTCCCTAGCTTTGCATATGCATCATTGTATTTCACAAACAGCAATGTATAAGGAACATTTTACATAGTTTTCAGTATTGTTTTGGAAATATTTTAAATGTTTTAAAGAACAACACATTCCAATAGAAAAGTTTTGAGAGACTCTTTACCATCGTCATGAATGTTTATTGTTGCTGTGTAAATAATACTGAGAAAAACACTGAAGACTCAGCAGTCTTGGGTCATCATTTGGTTCCCTACGTGAAACGAAGGAGTTTCCATCAGCTAATTGCTTTATCTTAGCAACACTATAATAAAAGATTATTGGGAAATATTCAGTACACAACCACTGAGACATCCCAGCAGGTGTTAGGTTTGCCTTCATGTAGGAATGCAGAGCTAAGTGGTCTAGAGCAGCAAGTGGCACATGAATAGATATGAATACTTCCAGAAAATTAAAATGTGTTATTAATTATATTTCTTCTTGCTTTCTTTTTATCCCAAACAACTCTTTCACAATCACTTATGAAGAACCCAACAGGTCTTGAATTTTGTCAATGGCATAATACATGATTTAGGAACTGAGTTGGGATGAATCGGTTTAGAAACTGGTAGAATTGGGTATGAGAAAGGAAGAGTATTCAAGGACAATTTTCTACAATATCTAATTACCTGTTTAAAGGCCAGTGATAATCTTGGATTAGTTTAATACTCTAAATGGTCTGTTTATCAGTTGAAATCACACTTTACTGCAGTGGAAACTGCTTTGATGCTACCAGAAGACACAGGTGAAAGACAGAAATGTCAAAAAGGCATCTTTTTGCTTACACAGTGAACTGATTGTTCTGAAGTTACACCACAGAGCAGTTGACATTGAGCTTCTTGGTCGCATAGCTGGTCAGAAGCCAAAGTTTGTTTGATTAAATCCTCATCTGCCATTTTTTTTGCAGGGGTCCAGGAGGTGGTAGACCTTGGCCAAACCCAACAAATGCCAATTCTGTAAGTAAAGATTATTCAACAAGTAGAATAGTCCATGCCCAGTTTTGTTTCCCATTGTACTTTCTGATGCTAGTGATTTCTACCCTTTCATAGCATGAAATAATGTATTATAAAGTACATCTCCTAGTTTACCTTTCTTCTACTTTTGATTGTGGATTCCTTTTGGATTCCCAGTTACACAACAGACCTGCAGCAACTACATCACTTGTTCAAATAGTGTTCAATATATATATTAACTTATTTTAATACAACACAACTATCAAGGTAGCCTAGGAATCAGCATCTTCTGACCTGTGACCTCTATAGACCACAATTTGAAAAGATAAGCTGTAATTTTCTAGTTGCCTTAAGTTGTTTTGTTCTCTTCTTCATTCTTATTTTACAAATTATTCTGTTATCTGATTGCAAGCCTCCCTGCACTTTTGGTTGGAAGTGTGTCATAGAAATCAAATAAATACATAAATAATATTGCCTCAATAGTTTTTATAGGGAAAAAGCATATTAATTTATATGCCCATTAACATCAAATTATAGAGTAATCTCTCACAAGACATTGTCCATTTTGATATTTTTAACAGCTGAATTCTGGCCCTCACAAAAAGCCACCCACACTCTTGAAATTAATAGGTTGCAATAGCTACAGTTGAAGAACAATTAAGGAATGATTCAGCCTATAACCTATACTGACTGCCAGTATTTGAAAAGATACAGAGCTCAAGAGTTTAGTTTTAGTAAACATGATGAAGACCTTCAAAATATGTACCTTAAATTCTTGAGTAATCTGGTAGAATCATATGTTCCTTCTTAGCATTTATAATAAGCTCAGGGGATTCTGTTGGTGGATTTGCAGTTCATTCTGGACTAAATAGGAGGGAAAGTATTTTTGAAATTAAGACTTAAATTTTGAAAGTATCTCCCAAATGGCCTCTAGCACTTTTTGTATTCTCTGCCGGAGCCATGGTAACTTCACTTCCAGCTTAATTTTTAAGAGCTGCTTGGTGCTCAGAAATTCAGTGTTTCTTCAAGCTATGGTTAATGAGCTGCCTATGATCTTGCTGCCACTCCATGGAGTGCTGGCTGGCCACAAAGTGTTGATTCTCTTCCTTTTTCTGTTGAATTACACTTTAAAAAGCTAGAAATGGTTTAAACACTCTTGTTATTGTATATTTCCATAAAATTATTTCTAGTGAGTGCAAATGTATGTTTCAGTGGCCAGGTAAATCATGAACGGGAAAGATGTGGCCCGCATTATGAAAATGCTTGAGACCTCCTGCATTAGACACATTTATATTAAGTTAATGAAATCCTTGTTTTAGCCAAGTGATGTTCTAGTTTTAAACTTCTCAACACCATCTTCCTGAGCTGCTGCTCAATCACATAGAGAAGGTCTCTGAAATGCCTTTTTATAAAGAAGAAAACTAAGTTACTTCCCACAAAATAGCATCTGTAACAGATCTGTATAAGCTGGATAATGATATTTAATTGGAACATTCACATTCTCCTTTTAAAAAGAAAGTTCCTTTCTGGAGTTCAGATAGTGAATATCATGATATTTCCTAAGGTCAGACTGAGAAAGAGAGAGAATACAACTATTCCACTTTATAGCCTTGCTTCATTTTAAGGACCTAAAAAGATATTTAAGTCTGTTCTTTTTCAGGATAGCATGTGAACCTTGTTTACTTAGTTTAGCTTTGTGTTTAAGATAGAGGTGTTAAACTTATCTTGCCCTGTGAACCAGTTGAGCAGGCTGGGGCCAACCCATGCATCCCATGGAGCACCCCCTCCCACCCCACCACATGCCAGATCCAGTGCCTGCTCCAGGACCTGCACTGCACACCACACCCATTCCAGTTGGTCTGGGATGCATACCACACTTGGCAACCATTTCAGCAAGTCCAGGATCTGCAGTACACACAGCACCTACCCCTGCGAGTGTGTGACTGTGCCACATGCAGCACACATTCCAGCCAGTTTCTGATGTATGCTACACACAGTGCCTATTCTGATCAGTCTGGGACAGGTGCCATATGAGGCACCCACCAGAAAACCACATGCAGCATTGGGATGCCATGTGCAGTACAGTCCCAGACCAGCAGAAGCACGCACCACATGTAGCATGGATCCCAGACCAGCCAGAGTGGGCACTGCATGCAGCATGCATCCCAGGCCCTGCAGCTAGAGCTTGTCCAGCACAACCCTCGCTGATCGAAGTCCCTTCCAGCCCTAATGTCTATGAAATCTATGAAACCCCATTTGGGTCAACTATCAGACCCAGGGATAGCACTGGGGGCCAGATAATGGAGATTTCCAGGCCAGATCTGGCCCATAGACCATATCTTTGACACCCCTAGTTTAAGTTCCTCCCTGTACTGGGGCTGAAACATTTATAACTTTGCAACTTACTGACGTGTTACCCTAGTTTGTTGTGGTTTGTGCAGGTGAAGCATGAAGCTTGTAGTAGTAGGAGCAAGTGCTATAACTGATAGTGCAGAAGCTACTAATTAAGATCTTGATCCTGCAAGCAATTCAGGCTCTATATGGCACAATGCAGATACCTGAGCTAGGCCTGAATTAGCTAGTTTTTGCACTGAAAACATCTGTAATAGGGCATGACAGGCTCGTGGCCCTAGGCCAGCCATAATGCTCTCTGGTGGTCTTACAGCTCCTGCCAAGCTCAGACTCTAATGTCACTCTCTGTAGATTGCTTGCCCACCAAGCCTTGTTCTTATTATTAAAGGTTGATTAAGGGAGACTGCCCACAGGCCTTAGAGTGAGCCTTAATCCTAACAATTTCCCACTGGGTCTGTCCTATTCCCCACTAGTTTCAGTCCAGCCCTCAGATCTGATAGGTCCCTCTCGGCCTGACTATGCACCTGTAGGGCACCTGTAGCCTTAAGGGGAAATTGTGTGGCTCTGTTCCTCACCTACACCACACCCCAAACCTCATGGATGTTATCACTATGACATTCAATTCACATACTTGGCCCCTTTTGGCCCTGAGACCCCCAGTCTCCTTCTCAGACCCTGTCTCTGGGCTCACAGACCCCCGATCTCCTGCGCAGCCCCTCTCTCTGGGCACGTGGGCCCCCCAGTTCAGCTTACAACCCCTCTCAGACTCATGGACCCTCATCTGGCCCTTTCTCTGTCCCTAGGCCCATTGGCCCTCTGGTCCATCTGTCCGTCAGTCCCTTCCTCCTGTACTCTGCCTATCTTTATATCTTCTTGGGCCTCACTGTCTTTCAACCCTGCTTGTCCCTGAACCCTCTGATGATGCTCCCAGTCCTTTCCAGGCCTGGACCCCACTCTCAGCCCCTGCTCGGCTGCTGGCACTCTAAGTATGTCTTGCCTACCCTTGCAGGGCTGCAAGCTAAACTGCTAGTACAGCTTAATGAACACCTGCCCTCTGGCAGGCACTTAAGCTTTCTCTAGGCTTAACATAAAACAGGGGCACCTGCCCACATACCCAAAGTGCTTCTCTGTCCTAGGTAGTTCTTTGGTTCCCTGCATTGCAGAGTTTCTCATTCAGAGCCACTGTCAGTTCAGGAGTCCTCTTGCTCTGCTGTCAGGAGCTCCTCACTCCATAGCTACCAGGGCAAGACTACCAGACTGGTGCAGGCTCTAGACCAGGCATAGGCAACCCCTGGCATGGGTATCGGACTGTGGCACGTGAAGGCACTTCTCTTGACATGCGTTCCTCTGGGCAGACAATGGGGAAGGGGTGAGGCCTGTGCTGCTACAACAAGGATCGGACACCTTGTGGCTCCCACACCATCTGCCCTGACACACCAACATCTTATGAGTCAAGATGGCAGGTGTTTTTGGCACTCCACCCAAAAACATTGCCTACCCCTGCTCTAGGCTTATATAGTTCAAGCCTGTGCCCTCTTCTGGTCATGTGAGTTTCTCATTAGCCCCTCTTTGCCACCTGTGAGTGCCTTGCTATACAGGGGTTGACAACCTTTTTGCCATGGAGAGCTGCTGCTTATGACCCAGTCCCTACCTCAGGCCACAGCCTTGCATCCCCTGGTGAACAAATGATGATGTGAAGGAAATAAAATAAGGTAGGCACTAGAACCCTGGGGACACCTCCTCTGCTGCATGGGAGAGAATAAACTGAACATGGCAGGCTCTAGAACCCTGGGGGCCTCCTCTGCCACCATGGCTGGAGCATCTTACTAATTCTTTGGGCTACCATGGGCCAGATCCAGCCCATGGGCCATAGGTTACCAACCCCTGATCAGTATCCACATTAGCCTGAGCTGAGTCATGTATCTGTACATGGCAGTGCTGTGGGTTACAGATCTATCTATCTATCTATCTATATACACACACACATTATTCTATTCCTTTTGACCTCAGTGGGATCACTCATTAGCAAAAGTACACATACTGTAACTAACCATGTAAAGTTTACAGGATTAGGGTCCAAGAAGCCTCCAATTTCTGATACATTATCTGATTTTTTTTCCTTACAAGCACAGAACAAATATTCGTACTGTGTAACAGTGGAGGCAGTAATTTTTAAATTGAAGTATTTGGTATTAAAGTCTCTCTGGTAACATTGGAGTGCTGTTATAGCCAGGACGGGCCAGGAAAATTGTGAGAGCCAGGGATTTTTGTGATTAATATCTTTTATTGAACCAACTGAATAGCTGGAATAGACCTAGACAAGCTTTCTAATGCAATGCATTCTTCTTCAGTTCACCTGGAGAAGAATGCACAGCATTCAAAAGCTTATCAAAAGTCTATCCCAAACATGTTGTTGGACCAGTAAAAGATAACCACCCCACAAAAAAGTCTTGCCTCTTGCACACTGAACCCTTTACTGTAGAATAAATGTTTCCTGTCAGTCAAACAACATTATATTTGTAAACATCAGTATTTTGTTCCTATATTCTACTGCCCCTCTAAAATTGAAGTTACACATATGCTTAAAAATCAGAACTTAAATTCTGGTGTGGACTCCATTCCTCCATCTTAATGAAGAAATAACTATTTTATTTTTCTTCATATTCTAGATACCATATTCTTCAGCATCTCCTGGGAATTACGTAGTAAGTACAATTGTGTGTGTTTGCTCATTAGAATTGTTGCTACATTTTATTCAGGCAAAGAAATAGTTGTCCAGATGTTAAGAAGAGCCCTTGTGTATTGGTTGAGAAGTGAACATCTGATCTGTGTTTAGTTGTTTTGTCTGCCATATACAGTGCATATGTTGATGTTCATTACTAGAACAGTTATCAGTCTGGTTGGAATTGCCCTGAGTGTTGTGTTTTACTTCAGCATATGTTTCTGTAACCAATACAATATATTGTCTTCAATAATAAAGGAGAAAACACAGCCTTTCCTTGGTGACTCAATAGTGTGTTTGCATTCATGAAATTATGAAAAAAAAAGATTTTTAAAAATTAGGAAGGCTTAAACTTCCCAAAGATGCGTAGAATATCTCTTAAAAGGATACTCACAACTAATGTGTTTTGGGATGTTTTTATTCTCTGGTGCTATAATTACCTCCTGGAGATCTGAAAACATTTTTTCCACACAGACTTATTTTTTTTTGGCAGGCATACACTTTATTTTGCAATTGGATTGCTCCTGAAATTGGCATAGTAATTTTTGCTTAGCAAATCCTTTAAAATTAATTATATTACATTTAATAGTAACATTCTATGTCTGTCTTTCATCCTAAAGAACCCAAAGGGCTAAATAATATAGCTGTCATAGAGATATAATAATCTACAATATGCTCTGTTTAGGAAACATTTAATCTATCAACAGAATAGTTTCCTGTAGACCAATAGGAACATACATTGATGTGTTTCCTGTGACTGAACTGCACCAGAAAAGGCACAGTCCTCAAGGATGGAACTCTGTTCTTTGTCTTGTGGATTTTTTGTCTGATTATGTAATTTTCCAAGAATGCTGTTTGAATGCTTTGTGTCCCTTAGTAATGAAGTGAAGATATGATAGGCTGAGGACATTAGAATTGACTCACCTATCTATTTGCCTGAATTGACCTAAATATGTTGATCTCCAGGCCAGGCAACAAATCTCATCCTTTTACTACAAAATTTATAGTCTATATTTTTTATCATTTTGCTGTAAATACTGGCTAATTATTGATGCTATTGGAAGGAGTTTTCTGCAGGACTTGTGTTTACCTTCTGAGTTCTGTTTTTAAATAAATGCCAAGGGTTTCTAGCACCTCAGAGAGAGATGAGGTTTTCTATACCTTTAGAAATGTAAAGAAACAAAAAATTAGATCAAGGTCTTAGCTTAGGATCCAATTCTATGCCCAGATCTGTTCAGAGGGCAGTAAGGGTAGATGGCTGCAACAGAAAAGCATAATATCCTTGCATATATAACAAAGGGAGCGGTGAGCAAGAGATTATTTTACCTGTACTCCACATCTGACATTGATGAGATTGATACTGCAATGCTGTGTCCAGTTCTAATGATCACATTTGTGACATTGTACAGTACCTTTTACTGTACAAGAAAATTACAGTGAGATGTTTCCCTCCAGTCAAGCAATATTATATTTGCTAATATGAGTGTTTTCTCCTTATCTTCTACCTTCCTTTTAAAAACTGAATTTGAACAATATGCTAGAAAATCAGAACTCAAATTTTAAATTGAAAAATTGGTGAGGGTGCAGCAAGGAGACACTCAAATTATTTGAGAGTGAAGAAAAAGCTGTACAGTGAAATACTTAGAGATCACAAGCTGTTCAGTTTATCAGAAAGAAGACTGAAAGATGACTTGATTACACTGTGAGAGTACCTTCACAGGAAGAGCTCTTTAAGCTAGAGTAAGGGTAACTGGGTGAGAATTAATGGCCATTAATCAAGAGATGATCTAATGTTTCCTTTTCTCCTTATGAATCTGTGACATTTGTAGTGAAGCAGGCTTAATTACTTACACAGCTCAGAAGTACTCAGTAGTCTTGTCCAATGAACCTTTCTTTCATTTTCTGCGTCATTGTGACAAGGTGTTTAACCAGAATTTGCAGATTTTGTTTGCAAACTGACAGGCCATGCTGTGAGCACTTCTGCTGTGGCCCTGAATTTGTGACCTTTGGGCTGTTAACTATGAGTCTTAGTGCCCACACCACCCCAGTCCCCATCCAGAATGCTACAAAGTGAAAGATAAAGACTGGTAGTTAGTACATTATACTGTTAGCTTTGTAACAGCCCAGAAGTGAGTGAGTGAGTGAGTGAGTGGACTGCAGGGTCATAGTCTTAATGCACAGGTGTCAAACTCATATGACCCCTTGGGATGAATCGCTGTCCCTGAGCTGGTGTGCAGGCCAAATGGGCCAATCCCCTGTGGAGCAGCCAGGGTCCCAGATCCAGCCCACAGACTGCACTCAGCACTTGCCAGTCTCCCAGGGGATCAGTCTGGAATGCCGCATGCAGCCTGTACCCCAAACCTGGACTTCCTGTGCTGCAGGCAGTACTGAGTCCAACCCCTGTGCTGCATGCACCGCAAGCCTTGGGGATAGTTCATGGTGCATTTGGTGCATGAGGCTGGTATGGGGTGTGCACTCCATGTGGTGCCCCACCAGAATGGCCCAGCATGCTGGCTCTAGGTCCATTGGGGCACTACATCCGCCCTGTGCCAGCTCTCTAGGCTGTGTCCAGGATGTGTATCTAGTCCAGTCTCATATGCTGCAGGCAGCACACACCAGCCACGGGGCTTGTGCACATAGCCCCTGGGGCTGGAATGGGGCACACATTGCCCACAGTGCATAGGCTAGACCTGGCACTGCATGCAGCACAGGGGGCCAGGATGCGTGCTATAAGCAGCACCCACCCTGGACCAACTTACCTTCTGTGCCACCTGCACCCGTCAGGCCACATGCTACATGTGGTCAGTCCAGCCCACAGGCCGGATCTTATGGCTCCATGGGTTGAATCCAGCCCGCAGGCCATATATTTGACACCCCTGTCTTGACAGGTAAGATACATGTATTCAGACTACACTTACATGATCAATTTTCATTAATTTACAACTAGAGGCATTAATCCAAAAATCAGTGTTACTGATTTTATATACAGGATATACTGTATCTGGAAATTAGTGCACTGCTGCCTAATATTCCATAGTTCGTACTGTGTTTTATAAGCCAAACAAGTGTGGTTTCTATTCTAATTCCAAAACTTTTCTCCTCTTTCCCAAAATATGTTTTTCATATTATAACAAATATTATATTATAACAGGAGCAATCAGACCTTGATAGTGCATATGCTGTATGATGTAGTGAACATCATTAATATTGAAATAAAATGATGCTGTTTGGAATAGTAAATCTGCTATTTTTATTTGGAAAGAAACGCACAACAGTGAAAAGTGTCTTCTTGTATCATTAATATATAGCATTTTCATATTATGGAAAATTTAGGGTTGAATTTTTATTGCATATTGGAATATTTTAATCACATCAATAACCAATAGGCTTTCTATATTTCTTCAAGATATTACTGTAGTGGCAGATGTGGTAGGCAAGAAGCTTTGCTGCTGATCATGTTATACAATTAAGTTGTTTAAATAATTGGAGTATTTTTTTAAGGATACAACAAGAACAGCTTGCTTAATAATCAGTGCAGTCTGTTTAAAGGGTTTGTTGTCATAAACAAATTTACAACACAGAAATACAGGAAATGAACGGGGAAAATGAGATATTTTTTGTTTTTTTAAGAAAAGTCTTCAGCAACAAGATTAACTCCTATTTTTAAACTAATACGTATAATGTATGTATCTGTACTCAAGATATATGGGTCCAATGTTACTCTGACACTGTCATTAATCCTCCATTATTTTCATTGCAAAAAGTGTATGTAATATGAAATAGTATGACTCAGTTTAAGGTTACGAGGAGTTGAAGCAATCACAGTTTCAATCTTAGACTCTGAGGAGAGAGACTTCTTTGCAGTGGTGTGCCTCACCCTGACCACCTTATCTGTTCCCATGTGATTCTCAGACACTCTGTGGCCAGCAGGGAGTAAGTTATTCTGCCAGTGCCACAGTGAGAAATCTGCTCCATCACTGTCCACTGAGGGGGAGTAATGCCAGTGTGAAACCTGGTGGTAGCAGGAAGATGTTCAGGGACTCATCTGTGTCAGTGGTTCTCAACTGCAGCACACCCCTTAAGACTCAATGCATCCCTTGGGAAAATGTCAGCTTTTAGCTTTCACTGTTTTGGAGTATGGAAAAATAATGGAGCAATTCTTCTGCAGAAAAGAACTCAGAAAAACAGCAACAGGTCTGAATGTTTTTGACACTATGGATTTCTATTTGAAATCTCTGGGTTTATCTTGTGAATCATTGTAGGTGTCTGTCTGCTCACCTAACAATGCTAATATTGTGCAGCACCCTGTGGCACTCTTATAAGGATCACACAGCATTCCAGGGTGCTGTGTCATCCTGATTAAGAATCACTGAGCTATGCAGTAAAAGCACAAGACTCTGTACCAAGTACACCTCTTGATGGAGAACAATAGGATAAACATTTCTTGTTCAGTGTTTCTCCCTGCATCCATGGATCTGCACATAATAAGTCTCTGGTGTGAGTCAGTATGTCCATGGCACATCATGGATTTAATCTGCCCTTAGGTAGATGCATTGCCTTTTCAGAACATGTCTAATGGAGAACATCTTTGTTTTGTGCTATGGAAATGTATTCCTTTTCAGCAATACAACTGCAACTTTTGTGATATGTTTTTTTCTCTCTTGGATTATCTTTGCTCTAGTTTGACATTTTTCCTTTCATACTAACTGAATATTTTCTACCCTTTCAGGGTCCTCCAGGGGGTGGAGGGCCTCCAGGAACACCCATCATGCCTAGTCCAGCAGGTATCCAAATCTATTAAGAAAATAATTTAAAGACAGTCCCAGTAACGTTCTGGATTGGGGGGGGGGGGGTGGTGTTAGTAATAAGCAAATAGTTTATTCCTGGTGTAGAAAACTAAGCCATTTGCTACCAGTGAAGAGCAATGTATTCATCCTTCTTGTGCACATTTCAGCAAGCAAAAGCCAATTAAAAGTTCACCTTTTTTGCATGTAAACATTTTTGCACCATTTTTGCACCTCTCTTTCTTTTTTCTTTCTCTTTCCTGTTTTCCTTTTGCTTTGCTGGAGAGAAGCAGCAAGATGGGTATTCTATTTTATTTGTTCCTTCCAGAGCTCTCAAGATCCATTTTTCTGGTCACCATTAGCAACAGAAAGAAAAAAAGAGATAAAATGGAACACACTTTGTTTTGGCTAGTGTTGTTCAGGCCACATCTTTTGGCTAGTGTTGTTTAGGCCACATCTTTTATCCTGTGAGAGTGCCTCAAAAGCATCTAACAGAAGAGGCTTCCAGTGGGTCCTTGAAGAAGGGTCTCATGACTTTAGCTTAGCCAGCTAGCTCCTTGTTAGCTGCACATTTCCATTCATGAAGCCTATGCAAAAGTTCATGTCTTGAAGGAAGAGAGTTTAATGCCTGAATACATACAGTACTTTCTGTCCTTCTGTGAGCAGCATCAGGGATCTGGTAAGCAGGATTTGAGTGCTTATGGCCTCGTATCTTGACTTTCCTCTGGGAAACCTTTACTGATAAAAACTCCTTTGGCCAATATCCCATTTTATGTCCTTTTTAGCACCTAAGAAATCATTGCTCTCTGTTCCTAAGAAATTTTTCATCTCCAAAATGCTTTTTATCTTCATTCCAATCTCCCTTACAGTACTAGTGACACAGAAATAAGAGATATTATTTTCAGGAGTGAGAAGCAGATCTTCCCTTGGAATTTTCCCACTAATGATGGAAAATCCTTACTCAGTACATGACTGGCAAATACAACCTGGGATAAAGAGAAAACCCCATCCACTAGCCAGCTGAGAAGTGGATAAATATGTTCTAATAGTTAAATGTTAAAAATTTCTCCTGATAGAAAAACAGGCCCCTGCAAATGACATTCACATCTAAGTAGAGTCAAGAAAGGGGTTGTGGCATATATAAGCTGGCAACATTTTCCCTAGTTAATTGTTTTTGAGATGGGGAGATGGGGAAGAATTTGTGATGCTTTAGGGGTCTCTATTTTCAGCCATCATCTCCCAGAAAATCTATCAAACAAGCAATCTGGTCTCTGAAAAGAAGCTTTCCAGCTGTTAATGTCCCACTGGATCTAACTGCATAAGTGTTTGCACAAGAACCAGTAGGAAATGGAGCTCTAATCCTTGAGGAGAGCAGTGGTATCTGTTTCAGAAGGTTGTGGTAGTTGAAGAACTTGTTCCTATTTGGCATCTTCTGCCGCCCCTGAAAACCTTCCTCCTATATGGTAATTTTCAGTAATAGAGTTTATGCAAAAATATTAAATATTAGGGAATAGTTCCTTCCTTTCAGACAATACGGTGATATTATTCCCTGCAAACAAGGGGTTTATCATGTCACCAAGTGTAGCTACTGCTTAGAAAGATGCATAAAAGGTGGGGTCCGTGAAAGGAATAGACATTGGACTTGACTTTATCCCCTTGAAGCATTTGTCAACATTTTTGGCTTAAGCCCACAGTGCATTCCCTGTACCAAGGCACTTGATTCTAGCATGTGCTCTCCTCCTGTGACCTTTCTATTTAAGAAAAATTCATTTCACAGTGTCTGGAAAAGTGGATATACCATTGAGTAGGGAATTAGTCTCAAAACTCATTTATCTCTTTTGTAATTGTCTCTTGGACAAAGAAAGGGGTAGTCTTTGTGGAGGAATAATGAACAGTGGCAATCTGCCCATTTCTCCACTCATTCTACAGCTATGATAGACATTTGGCAAAATCCTCTTTCACTACATGCATCCAAATGGCAGTTTCCAGCTGCATAAATGGCATTTTTGTACTTATGTATAGTTTGCAATTCTGTTACACATTTAATGTGGATGCACAAGCATCCATATAGCTACAGAGCATACACGGTAAACTACATGAATACACAGATAAATATCTATGTACTTGAGCATAAGTCATAAAAAAATGAGGGGAAGAGGTAGCCTTCCCACGTTCTAGTTGCAATATCTGAATAGTTAGAGCGCTTTCCCAGGAAGCACAGTGCTACCTCCGTGGAGTGATCATAGAATCCTGCTCCTCCATATTATACCTTTAAACAAAGATGACTTGAAGTTGTCTTGTTGACTTGCCACTGGTTATTTAGTTGTTAGCTGTTATCCAGCCCTCCTCTTAAATCTGAGCTTCAGCACTTTGTATTTAAGATTAATTGGAAAAAATGGATGGAGAACAGTGGGTAAATTTCTGCCTCATTGGAAGCAATAGCACAGGCTAGAAGAAAGAACCTGGTTCCTTCAAGAATAGTAGCCCTCTCATTGAGCCATGTACCTCTAGCTTATTCTTTTCCTCCTGGCCCCACATATCTCCCTTTCTTGGCTGCCCAGGGGGTCTGCTTCAAAAGGGGAGCTGGAGAAGGTAATGCCTAACCTGTGGCCTAGTGATTACAGCAGTGCAGATTTAAACCTTCTTTGGGTGACAGGGTCCTTGTCCTAGGTCTCTTGGACAAGTGCTCTAACCATTTAGTTAATGAGACTAAAACATAGGAGGACTCCCGTCCTCCTCCTCCATCATAATACCTGCTCAACGTGGAGTTTTACGATTTACATAAGCCCACATACATGGGTATGTAGCCACTGACCTACTCAGCTAGTGCATACCTACTGCACATGGTCAGAAGCTGTGTGGATACTTACGCATCCATGCTATACAGGTAGTAGAATTGCACAGTGGCAAAAATGCCCCTTATGCTGCTGGAAAATTGCCATTTAGGTGCATAAAGTAAAATAGAGTTCTGCCCATAATGTCTTTGTATTGTTGGCTGACTTTCTGAAAACGTGTTCTTCACTAGGTGATTTACTGAAACTTTTCTAAAGTCATTCCCATCTCAGCTGGTTGTTTATTCTTGGATAGCATACCCATAAACAAATGTTCTCAATGGCAGTATTCTTTAGAAAACATTTCCTTAATTTGCATCTCTGGCTACAACCTTTTCTGCCGCCTTTTTCCTGAAAAATATCTATGAGGAATGTTAACCATTTCATATGGGCTTACCCTGGCAAATAAGGCACCATAAAGGAAAGCTTCATACACACTGATTCTTTTCAAAGATCTTGACTTTGAGCCCTTTATTCAGTCAAAATATTACATAGCTTGAATTCTGTGCATCTTGTAAGTTAAAATCTGGATTTCAGCTCTGGAAGTCTGAAAACCAGGGGACCAAACAGGATACAAAGTTTAGCTAGATCATCTGCATGCATATTAGAACTTGTCATTGGCTATTATTGTCCACATAATAAGGAGAGCTATCTATTGATTTCCACTGTGGGACCAGCAACATAGACATTTTTAAGCAAGGAATTATCTTTTCATAAAGACAACTGAATGGAAGTAAAATAATTCTGGGGGTTCTTGGAACAACAAGAACATGTGCTTCAGGAACTCAGTAGTTGCAGATTTACAGATGTTTAAAACATCTAATGCCTAAATCTAGAATCTAGAAGTAGTCATTTCAGCCACTTAGACCTCCATTATATCTGATTCATACTTGAGTTCTCCAGTTTGGGTGGTCACACATCACTTGATTCTCATCCAAAAAACTCATATCTACTGGAATGCTTTATATTTATGAACTGTTTCAAATCAATTATGTGATATATACAAAACATTCCTTACAGTCAGTTATTTCTTTTCATAGCTGTGTAGCATGAATAGGAATACATAGAGACAACAATGACATTTTCCATAACATTGTCACTGTGTAACAGTGGCTCAGATTTAGAAGAAATGTTGAAAAGATAAGAAGAAAATGAATTAGATGAGCTTTATCTAAAGACATGTCTTGGCACTTAAATAATATCTGTTTCAGATTCAACCAACTCTGGAGACAACATGTACACTTTAATGAATGCAGTACCACCTGGACCTAACAGACCTAACGTAACTATGAATCTATTACATATTTTTTCTGCACTGTACTGTCTTGTTTTACCCAAATCACCAGACCTCCATTATATCTGATTTATACTTAAGTTCCCCAGTTTGAATGGTTATATATCAGTTGTTTCTCATAAAAATTCATGTCAATTGGAATGTTTTTATGCATCTGAAATACTTTGCATCAATCATGTAATACATATAAAACAGTCCTTAACACCAGTTTTTCTGAAAAGAAAACACCTTAAAATTTGTCTGTGTAATGTAGGTAGATGACTAAGGTGGACAGACAGACAGGCAAAGGTAGATGTTAGGGACATGACTTAGGCCACATACAGGTGTTACATTTCTACTGGGAAAATCACTGCTCTCTTGGTAGAAATTGCCAGCTTACAGGTATTCCTTGAGTTTCTCCCAGAGAAAACATGACCGATCTGCGAGAATTCCCTGAGAGAGAATTTTCTTACTAAGAATGGATACCTATAAGCTTGTCTCCTCCCTGATTGGGAGGAATTGAGCAGCAGCTTCCCATGTGCCTTCCCCAAACTGGGGACCAAAGGTAAGGGGGACATTTTCCCTGCAGCTCAACTCCCCCAATCAAAAGATTTGAGCTGCCACTGCCCCCCCTTCCCCACCCCCATAGTGTTCCTGTGATCAAGGGACCCAAGTCTGAAGAAAACTCAGAGAGCTGTGGCAGCTGGACTCCACGTAAGCATTGAGGGAGTCCAAATACAGCTTCCCCAGCACCCTTCCCAAATGGGGGTACCCCTATCTGAAGAAGGTGTAAGGAGCAGCAGCAGCGCAAGTTTTCCTGGGGCTGGGAGGAATTTGAATGGTCCCCACATGTCCCCCAGGTTAGGGAGACCCTTAGAAATTTCCAGCACTGAAAATGAACACCTGTTCATACCCTCAGTTTGTCACACTGCAGTGTACGGAGCTGGCATCCAGCAGCATATCATCTCTAAACAGCTCTGGTAGCTCCTATTACTTTCTACAGAAGTGATTCTTTTTAGGAGAAAAATGTTTGTACCCCTGAAGAATATGAAGAGAGCTTTTGAGTGTAACCCAGTGAAATGATGTCTTACCAGTTCTGTAGATGGATAATATCAATAGCTTTATAATGAATGAGGCCTGCCCTTTTCATCTAACTGGGGTGAAAATTATATTAAGCCTAGTTAAGACAGTTTAAAATTAACCTTATTCACTATGCCAGGACTGTCCAAGTACTCAGTGGTCAGGAGCCACATGCCACATGGGCCACAGACCTGTTCAGGTCAGCTTACCTCCAGGTGACCTGCTACCTCCAAGCAACCTGGCTTCCCCCTCACCCCTCCCCTTCCATGTGTGCAGCCTCACCTTGCTCCCAGCCAGGTGCATTGTGCAGGCAGCTCCCTCTTCAGCTGCTGCACAGCTCCCTCTGCCACATGTGCAGCTGAGGTACCCCAAGTCCCTGTGCCATAAACACAGCATAGGCAACCAACTCAGGTCTCCCCCTGCCATGTGTGCAGCATAGTCAACCCAGGTCTCTTCTCCCTCCCCCCTGACCTTGCACGCAGCACAAGCAGCCCAGGTCCCCTCAAATGCAGCCCATGTGCCCTCCCCCTCATGTTCAGGACAGGCAGCCCAGCTGTCCCTCTGCTACATGTGCAGCATAGGCAAGCCAGGTCCCCAACCCCCACCCACGTGCATAGCACAGGCAGTTCAAGTCTCCCCCCCTCCCCCCTCCCACTGCACACACAGAATGGACAGCCCAGGTGTACATCTATGTATCCCACTGAATGGGCAGCCCAGGTCCCCACCATTACATTGCCTCACTGCCGGGAGTGGGGACAGGAAGTGGAAGCCAGGGAGGGAGGGAGAGCTTGGAGACCCCAGCAGCCACTGCATCAAAAACAGTGAGGGTAGTGGTAGCCAGGAGCCAACAGGCTATACATTAGCCCCTTGCAGGCCACCAGTTAGACAGCCCTGCACAATGTTGCCAGTAATTATTTTAGCCAAAACAGCAGCAATACAAAGACTGCTGAAAACTTAGATTTCCAAATAGAACTTTTTTCTCTTTCTGGTGCTTATGTTTTGTTTTGTTGTCATTTATGAATAGTTAGAGACTATGGTGAGACGCATTTAAAAATAGGTCGTCGAACATCAAGTAACAGTTGAAGTGCAATACATTTACTGACATTCTTGGATTCTTATTAATAATGTAGTGAATATCTTTGTTTTCAATTCAGTGACCAAGATTTAGGTCACTGAGCTGTACTCCAGATGCTGAACTGTCATAACCTAGTAGTATTGCAGAAACAATATGATGTTATCTGCTGTGGTTGTCAGAATAGAAATTTTGAAAACTGATCTAACTCTGCCCTAACTCTGGGCTCATTGAAGTAATTACTAAAATTTCCATTAACTTTGTTAGGTCAGTGCTGAGCACTTCTGATTCACTGGCCATGTTCTGGCCTTCTACACACAGATTAACTTCTCCAGAGGTCAGAGCAAAACACAGTAATTGAGATAAATCATGGAAAAAATAAGTAAAAACAATGTTAATTACAATCACAAGGAAACAATGCATGCAGAGATGCAGAAGTAGAAAGAATTTATCCAATTTGGGTGTATTTGGTTTTTGCTTATAATGTGTGCTTCTTAGATTATATGATGTATACCCATCAATAATCCTAACCATGATCCTTTTGCAGTTTCCTTTGGGCCCAGGGTCAGATGGCCCTATGAGTGGTTTGGGTGGAATGGATTCACATCATATGAATGGCTCTTTAGGTAAGAATAACAAATCTGATGAATAATGGATTTTTATAAAAATACCACAATACCCACAGCTATAAATTAAATGACAATTGTACATGAAAAATTATTTCAAAATTTTAAATACTTGCTTTACATCTATCAAAAGTTTGAAAATGATTACATATCAAGATCTATTAAGATGTCTCTGAGAAAAGAAATACCATATTTACTTGTATACCACACAAACCTTTCCCCCAAAATTAACATTCCAAAATTGGTGTGGGAATCTTAAGTGGGGAAGCCATTTTTCTAGCAGAGTCCAGCAGATGCAGATCTGGAGTCAGGGGAGAGAAGGGTGGGAGGGGTGAAGTGGTGCAGTCAGACCCCCAGCTTGTGTCCTGCTCCACCCGAAGTTTAAAACCAACTGCCCAGCAGCAGTGGCATTTCTATTCAGGCAACACATAAGAAAGTTAGTTGACTTCATGGCTGATTATAGTCTACCAGCTTCCTGCTAATTGCTCTTCACTCTGCAGATGTTAACCCTCTTTCATCTTTTCTAGTGGTGCTGATGTTCAACTAATCTACCCTTTCTTTGGCACTGTTGCTGTTAGCTACTCCTGGTGTCTCTTCTCCTGTTCCATAGCCAAATATACTATTTTAGCACTTTTCAAAATCTTAGATCTGTCCTTTGCAGTAACTACAGTTTCAGCCTTTGGATGAACAGTCAAGAGTTGCTGACAGTTCAGCTGTGAAAGGGTCAAAACTGTAGCTTTTGCCTGAACAGAAAAATGAGAGTAAGGGAGTTGATTAGGCTTTATCCCTGTTCTATGCAGCCATAATTCTGGAAACATATTTTTTCTTCATTCTGCCTTTCTTAAAGCAAGGTGTATCTTTATTTGAGGGTGTATGGTACAAAAGGAAATACACAACTACATATGTTGCTATCCAGATCATAAACTATATTTCTCCCACAGGTTCAACTGTCTGACTTGCACTATACCCATTTATATATCTCGTAAGCAGTACTTTTAATATTCCATGCTGTGATAAGATTCAAACAGCTGCCTTTTAATCAACCAATCAGAAAAATACAAACCAAATATGTACTCTCTTGCATGGTTACTCCTGTCTTCAAAGCTATAACACTTTTATATGTAGAACTTACAAATAGGTAACTTTCAGAGGTCTTTTAAAATGCATTCACCATATTTTTCTCTTTTGAAATCAGCATGGTCTAGTGAACACATTATAATATCTATTCAGTGTAAAAAGTGAAGCAAAATTAGGGAAAGTGTCATTTGAAGGGCAGTGTAAGTCGCAGGAACACGGACCTGATGAACAGGAATTTCTGACCTGTTGAAGACTTGACCTGATGCATTTAAAAGCTTGTCCAACTCTGTCCCAGCTATACAGTTGGTCCAATAAAAGATATCACCCTAACAAATCCTTGCCTTTTTCTACAATTAAGCATAGGGAGGGTGAGGCAGCTTACAGGAGCTTTTGAAAAGCCCAGATGAGCTTAAATACGTATATGAGGCATACAATAACAGAGCAGCTGGCCCTATTTCTCCACTCTAGACAGTGATAAAGTGGGTAAGATGCAAGTAAGAGCTCTCACTTTTCCCCCTACATCCAATCCCAGATTTTGTTACATTTGTCACCTGTGTATTCAACAATCTATCTTGAGACCTATCCCCTTAAGAATCTACCCCCGAATGTAATGGAGAGGATGTTAGCATAGCTGAGGCCTGAATCCAGTCCAGAATTTAAAGCCTGGAAAACAAGATAGAAGAATGTGAATGAGGATGAGAGTGGGAAAGGCCATAGTGAGATGAGAAGGTGAAAAAGTTTTAAGCTTAGAAAAGAATTCACCAAAACTTTCTTATCAGACTTATTTGATGTAATTTAAAATATATCACAACAAAGCAAATTCTGAAGAATCTTTTATCCGGGGAAGCATTTTCCTGAAATTTCTAAATTACTTTGAATAAGGCCATTTTGCAATTTTTCAATAAATCCTTTGCATATTTTTTTTATAAATTGGTTGCATTTTTAATTATAATGAATGCACATTATTTCCAAGTCAGTTAAAGTTATTAAGTATCACTTTTTTTGCTATGATATATCATAGACTGAAAATAACTTCCTAGTTGTAAGATTAATTACAATTGAAACAGTTGTGAAAGAGCTTTATATCTGCTTAGCATATGGTTAGATATTTTCTTCAGTAAACATTATCAAATGCATTCAAATCAGTCATGACAGATTTTTCTTATATAAATTTTATTTTTAAATACTCCATTAGTTCTTTTAAGAAAATTATTACATGACAGACCTTCAAGTCTTGCCCAGTTTTATAATGCGTAACCAAATCTTATATCTCTTTTCATAAACTGATAAATTTCCTTTATCAGCTGTTCTAGAATCTTATTTGCTCTGATGATTATGAATCTTCGTCTGATTTCCAGCTTAGAAACATTCTTAGTCAGTTTATATTTATTCTTGTGTCAACATTGTCTTTTGCCTTGTCTTCTCCCTCCCTAGCTTTTATAAAGAACAAGAGGTTACCTCTCAGCCTTCATTTCCCTGGACTAAACAAACCAAGCGTCCAATAAGTAAATTCCCTGATCATCCCATTCCCTGATCATCCCATAACCCTCCCCATGAGGTCTTACTAGTATTTTGTACAATAGTATTAACACTTCCCAATCTCTACTAGAAATATCTGTCCTGATATATTCAAGGTTCACATTAATAATGAAAAAGTCATGTCAGACTCACACAGTGGAATTATAATTGTTTTCTGGTCAACTAATATACCCAGGGCTTTCCCTTCTTTTGTCATTTTCAATTAATGAGTACCCAATGTGTAGCAGAAATTCTTTTATTAGTCCCTAAGTGCATGACCTTGCACTTCTCAGTATTAAATTTCCTCCTGTTTTTATTACTCCAGCCCTCAAAGTCATCCTGTTACCCTGAATGATATTCCACTTCTCCCCCATCTTTATGTCATCAGTGCATTTTATTAATGCACACTTATCTTTTGTGTCAAGATCATTAATGACTATAGTAAATAAAATCGATCCCAAGATCAATTCTTGAGGACACCCATTAGTAACCTTTAAGAGAATGTCTAACAAGAGTGGTGGCTATTTTTTCTGTCATGGAAATCACATTTCTTTAGATGTTTTCTGTTCTCCAATTAAAACTGCATTTTCACAGGCATGCACATACACACCTAGATTTGACTATGCTATGTAAGCACTGATGTAAGTAGGGAGCCATGCAGCATTATATCTCCTAGGGGTAGTTGTACCTCTCAGTTCTTGAGCCTTTCAGTCTGCCTAGATGTTGGTTAGGCTGCTTCATCTTAAGAATTCAGAACACTGTACAGACTAGTTCTGTGGCTGTCCCTCCTCCCAATAGTCTTGGACTAATGAATATGCTAGGAGCATACAGAGATAGCTGTTAGGGCAGTGCGAAGCTTCGGTTGCTGGTTCAATTCGGCCTGATTTGGCAGCCTAATTTCCAAATCTGAATCAAATCAGGAAACACTTTAATCTCTCCGAATCGAATTGGAACCCTCCGAATGAATTCAGAGAAATTCAGAAAGATTTGATGATTCAGACATAGCCACCGCTTTAAATGTTTTTTCTACATACCTCAAGGTACCAGGCACTGCACAGAGTCACAGATTCATAGATGATAGGGTCAGAAGGGACCTCAACAGATCATCGAGTCTGACCCCCTGCATGGGCAGGAAAGTGTGCAAAGAGTGCAGATGACTCCAGCCAGATGCCTATCCAGCCCTCTCTAAAAAATCCCCAAGGTAAGGGAGAGCACCACCTCCCTTGGCCACCCTTACGATAAAGAAGAAGCTCATGAATGCTGAGATGCTGGGGCGGATGAAGCATCCCATTACTAGCCTGCAATGCGATGCTGCGGCTAGTAAAGCGACCAAAACGCTGGCTTACATCCATAGATGCTTCTCAAGCAAATCCCGGGACATCATTCGCCCCTTGTTCTTGGCCTTAGTGAGGCCGCAGCTGGAGTACTGTGTCCAGTTTTGGGCTCCACAATTCAAAAAGGATGTGGAGAAGCTTGAGAGAGTCCAGAGAAGAGCCACACGCATGATCAGAGGTCAGGGAAGCAGACCCTACGATGACAGGCTGAGAGCCCTGGGGCTCTTTAGCCTGGAAAAGCGCAGGCTCAGGGGTGATCTGATGGCAACCTATAAGTTTATCTGGGGTGACCACCAGTATCTGGGGGAACATTTGTTCACCAGAGCGCCCCAAGGGATGACAACTAGGTCGAATGGTCATAAACTACTACAAGACCGTTTCAGGCTGGACATAAGGAAGCATTTCTTTACTGTCCGAGCCCCCAAGGTCTGGACCAGCCTGCCACCGGAGGTGGTTCAAGCGCCTACATTGGACACCTTCAAGAGCAAACTGGATGCTTATCTTGCTGGGATCCTGTGACCCCAGCTGACTTCCTGCCCTTTGGGCAAGGGGCTGGACTCAATGATCTTCTGAGGTCCCTTCCAGCTCTAATGTCTATGAAATCTATGAAATCCCACAGGAGCATGGCGGGGTTCCCAGTGCGCTTGGAAGCAGACCTGGAAGTGGACCAGAAGCACTTCCGGTCCATTTCTGGGTCCACCAGGAGTACTTCTGGTCCACTTCCAGTTTCACCATTGAGCACATGGGGGAGCTCCCCCGTGCTCCTGTGGGACGCTCCATCCATCCCAACATCATGAGCCATGCCTGATAACTTGAGGTATGTAGAAAAAAACTGTGTCTATGGCTGAATCGCTGATTCTCCATATCAGCATCGAATCTTCAGATATCACCTGTTTCGCACTCCCCTAATAGCTGTGCCTGCATTTTTCCAGACCACGGAAACTGTGACTGCCTGTAGCTCTTACATAGACCTAAAAAAGGGGAAAGAGCTTAATTGCATGCACAACCACAGAAGGGTCAAGTATGTGTATTGTATTGGCTGGAGTATTATACTGAGAGAGACTCAGGGGGAAAGGAAGCTCTCAAATATCACTGTGTGTTAGCTTATTGCACCAATGCTTATTTTTAAAATTTGGAAAATGATAAACTCTTAGGTTGGGGTGGGCTAAATATGGTGTACAGGCTGGATCCAGCCCAATAAGTGATTCTATCCATCCCATGGCACTCTCTGCCCTCCTCCCTCCACTCTGGGTAGTGTTGGCTGCAGCAGCTCCACCTCTGGCTCCAGCTCCTGGGACTGCAACCAGTAATGGAGCACAGTGGGGGCTGAGGCATGTAGTGGGATTGGTGCCTGCAGGGCTAAGGAGAGACCCAGCCCCTAAACCCACCCCCTGCCCTCCTCTCCCTCTGCTGCTTGTGTTGCTGGCACTAGCACCTTAAAAATATTTTTTTGAAATACATTTTTAGTATATGATTTGTTTTTAATCTATAATTTGTTAAAATGATATCTTTTGAAAGATGTTATGTGTGTGGACCTCAACTTGATTGGTTTGGCACCATTCTCTGGGAGGTCCAACACCCCTGAAATTTCCACTGATTGGTCAAGGATGATGGGGCAGGTTGACAGAGGAGTTACAACTCCTCACTACCTAATAGGTCATGCCTGTGCCTTGTGGCCTAGGGAACAGAACTTCTGGGGCCCCAGGGGTGGGCAATGCACCATGAGTGTGGGCCCTCTAGAGAGGCAGTGGACCTTCTAATGTCAGGGACCATGTAATGTGGGCAGGGGATTCTGGGACCAATATGGTGGCCAACATGGTGGTGAGGGGGGCAGGGTTTGGTGTCTGGTGGGCAGGCCTTCTTATGTCACGGACTGTGTGCAAGGGTGAAACTTCTGGTTCCAAGACCATAACCTTTCCCCCTTCCAAAAGGAGTACTTGTAGGGTGAGGGGAGGGACTTTCAGTGGCAAAGGCCAGGAACAGGACTTTTAGTTCCAAAATAGCAGCCAGGGGGCAGGGCACCTGTCAAGGTGTGGGATTTAACAGTTTGACAAGAGGTGTGCCCCTGAATCCCTCAACAGCTGACTAAAATTCAGTAAGTGGGCCACCAGCCAAATAATTGCCCATACTTGTCTTAGATTAATGCAGTCCATACCTAACTAAATGTCTGTTTATTTTAACTTCAGGCTCAGGAGACATGGACAGTATTTCCAAAGTGAGTATGTAAAATGTTTTAATTTTTAGCATTGTATCCTACTCGTATGTAAAATCTCTCCTAATTTTTGTTACATTTTTACATTAGTGATTGCAAATTAAATGGGCATTACATGCCTATCAATTCTTTGGGGATTTTAGACAGACTTAGCATTAGTTGGAAGGTTAAAACAATGCCGATAATCAGTAGAGACTATGAAATGGATTTGTTTATGTATTTTCCTTAACTGAATTATGGTCATCCTTGTATGTGGCTAATATATAGCCATGTAATAACCTAACTAATTATATTATAGTTTTACATATTGACAAGACAAATGAATACAGTTGTCATAAATCTAGTTAAAGGTAAGGAGAGGTAAATTGGGGAAAATGTCATTAGGATATAACTTTTATGCATTGTGTGATAGCTTTTCTTGCTTTTATGAGGCAATGTTAATATTGTAATCACTACTTTAATTCCCTAAAAGCTAGATTAAAAAGTAATTTAAAAAGAAGCAGTGTTCTGAACATTCAACCATTAAAGAGTATATTGAAAATGAATGTTATTCAACCTTCAGCCATTTGGAACTACAAAAATAATATTGTGTTTCAGTGTGCAGTGTTTTACATAAAAAATTCTACTATTTCTATGATGCTTATTAATTTAGGGGTTGATTCAAATTAGGAATCAATAAAATGATTCATTGCAATTGTAAGCGGAAGAATTAGTTTCATAGAAAATACCTTGTATTATTTCTTGAACCTTTGCAAATACAAATGGTTAAAACTAATTAATGAACATCACTAAAAAGATCACCCTGCACTTTTGTGCTTTTCGTCTACATAGAAATTAATTAAACAACTGTTTCATTCTGAATTGCAGAGCTCATTCTTATTCATTTGAAATGCTAGAACAAAATTTCCAGCTCTGTCCTAAAAGAAGAAAATAAGTTTGCTTAGAGAAAGCTGAAATCTTTTTAACTGGAATTTCAAACTACATATGTGGAATGCTAATGTACAATTTCATTATTCTGTAATGGAAGTTCTAATTTCTGCTTGAGGCAAAGCAACAGAAAAAGACACCAAAAAATGTGGTATCTATGGGTCAGACAAGTCCAGGAGGACCAGGACTATGTTAAAAAATGCTTTGCACTGCAGGGATTACTGTTCATGTAAAGGTACTTGAGCTGCCTTTAGTTAGCTAGATGGTAGTGAAGCACTCCATGGCTGTGTTCAGATGAGTGTGAATATGCGGTATGTCACACCACAGACGCGCCACATACCACACATGAAGGCATTCCCCGTGCTGCTACCTTGCAGTGCAGGGGTGGGGAGGGGGTTTGACCCCAGGAGATTCTGGGGTCAAAAAACCCCACACCGAAAAAAAGTGGGGTGGTGCAAGTGGTATCAGCGCATGCCGCCCACAATGAGCCTGGCTAGTTGGAGCCACACTTCAGCTGCCAGCCAGGCTTCCTGTCATTGCTGCAGCCCCTGGAGGTCCCCAGGACACCATGTAAGACTGGTGGGGCCAGCACAATTACTGGCCCCAGCCTTCCCTACCCCACCTGGGGTAACCTGCTGCGTACCACAGTGCATATGGCATGGGCATTCCCCGGGAACAAGCAGCAGTGGCACAAGGTGTGACACTGCTATTTGTCACCAGGGAAACAAACGTCCATACTCATCTGGCCACAGCCCATGCGAGCTAACTATCTGAATTTTCACCCAATTTCTCATTCAGCTTGTAGCCTGCACCAGCTCCCCTGCTGCTATGGCTAAATTACTGTCAACCCCTAACAAGCTAACTTAACTGTACATGGCTATCTATGTACAGGCACACTCATGATTTAACTCACAATTAAATCACAAGGGTAAGTAAAGCAATGGAACACTATGTTCAATTACTTCGTTACAATTTTTTGTTTCTCTTTTCTTCTCAGAGAGCAAACCATTGGTTCTTAATAACTTTTATACATATTGGCTATGTAACTATTAAAAGAAACCCAGTTTGTGTTACCTAGAGTACATAAACTTTTTTTTCACAAATAAATAAATAAGACAAAATCATAGCAAGATTTTTTTTTAACTTTCTAAAGAAAACATGCAAGACTAAAACAAGAAAACATTTAGACTAAAAGTAGAATTATGTGAAACATCCATAACAGTCACTAGTGAAATGGTTTACCAGCTCATAAATTTGAACTTGGATTATTCCAAACTAGTTACCAGTTTGCAGTTTATTTGGTAGCAAAGAGGCCAAACAAACTGCTATAATCACTGCGCCAAATCTGGTTCTCACTTAAGTCAACTGGCGATAAAACTAGTAGCAGGAACCACCATCCCCTAGCAACCACATCCTAGAAGAAATGCCAGCATCTTTATGTCTCTTGGTACTGTATGATCTCTTCTGAGTCTATTTCCAGGGTTATTGTAGAACTGCTTACACAGAGAGATGGGAAACAGAGGATTCTAGAGGTGGAGCTAACAGGGTGTTACCTTGGAACAGTGGTTCCTAACCTTTATAGACATGAGGCACCTCTCCTTAACTTTTCTGAATTTAGCAGCACCCTGGTTGAGATCCTAATGCAGCAGGAGCGCCTGCTCCTACTGCAGTCTCTTCCCAATCTGGCTGCTCATGAGGCGCATAGGTTAGTTTCATCTGGCTGTGGCAACACCCATGATGCCACACACCTAAAAGGGACTCACGAAAATCCTGGATGAGAACCACTGCTTGGAAGTTTGAATTTATAAGTGCCAGACTTCGAAGTTACTATGAAGTATTTGTTTCATGGCAAACCATGCTGAACCAAATGCAGAACTCTATTAAAAAATTGTTGAGATGCTACTGTTTCATTTAATAAAATTACTTATGATGATACTTAAATGGTGATGAGATAGATTGTTTCCTGCCAATGCACTATACAGGAACATCTTTTTGTATATACCTTCTGTAGGGGTGGAAAACACCTCACTCTATCTGTTTTTATCAGAATTTGGCACTAGGTAAAAGTAATTTATGTTGGCTTGTCCAGTTTCCCTGGAAATGTACATTTCTTTTTCTGGTTAGTTCATCAACACTTTTAAAATTATTTTAATTGACAAGGTGCCCAAAATTAAACACGGTAAACCTAGCTAAGCAAGCCTTGTGTTTATAATGATCATGTATTAATAACTGAATATAACTCTAAATAAACTGTGGAAAGCAGCTGGTTCCATCCTTTCTCTTTAATTAAACAGACTAAATCTTGATGGTGTGCTCAATATATTTACTTTGGTTACTATACAAAAAATGGTAGTTGTACAATAGTACTTCTAGCAAAAGAATAATCTTTAATGCTTTTTGGTGCTGTTGTTGTTACTGTGGTAGCCTCTAAGGATTCAGATCATATATCAGGACTCTGTTGTGCAAGGTACTGTGCAAATAACTAGACACAGCCCCTATACAGAGATGCTTACAACTATCTGGCTGTTATTGAATAAAACTAACTCTGTAACTCTACTGTTCATGCATAATACTCTCTGGTAAGTGGTTTAGCAGCTCATAACTTTGATTTATGAATTATTCCCAGTCATTTACATGCTAGTTAAAAGAAGCCTTAATTCAGAAAGGTACTTAAACATGTGTCTAATTTTCAGCCTGTAAATACTACTCATTTGTTTAAAATCATGCATATCTTTATGTATTTTGCTGAATCAGGGTCACAGTGATCCTTTGGAAATAAAGAAACCAATCTCCCTCCCTGTGAAGTCATTTAAACTGCTAAGTGCAGCACCTAAACAGAATTTAACCACCCAAGTCACAAAAAAGTCCAGAAATCTTGCAGCTACAGAACTCTTTTTGTACCTACATGTTTAAAGCATATTTGGCCACCAGAATTGACACAAGACCAAGAGCAAACAAAGTGCCCAGCAAGGGGTCTGTCATAACAGTCTTAATACTTGTGGCTCTAAGGGTCCCTCAGTAACACAGAGTAAACCTCAGAAGAGGAGGAGCTCACTGCATAGTTGGAAATCAGGATCAGGCAGTAGGCAGAGTTGTCTTGTGAACAGATCATCACAATGGTCTGTCTGGATATTGTAAATTATTCTCTTCCATATAGAGTTATGAATTAAATTCTGGGATTTAAGGATGGTAGAGGGAGGCACCGGACTGGACTTGGAGTCCTTGTCCTATCAGAAGAATGCATCTGCCTTCTAGTTCATGGTATTTGGCTGGTAGGGAACAATGAAGTCCCAACAGAAGAACCCTGATCAGTGGACTCGCTATGGATTCAGATTCTGATTTATCTGGAGATACAGCAGATTCTTATGAGGATCTGGTCCATCTTTCAGAAGGTGTTGCTACTCTACCAAGCTACTTTGATTGTGAGCAATTCTGTATCCCAGATAGTTCTTTTCAGTGGGTAATAATGCTCAGGAGCAAAAAGCACATGGCTGCAATTATTTCAAGGATTTGGACAGCTGGGATAAGATGATCCCGTGACCCAGCTTGATGCATTAGCTTCTGGGCTTCGGTTACAGCAGATTGGGTGCAGAGGTAAATACCTTCTCAAGTCTCTCAGGGTCATAGGTGAAGGGAGAATTTGGGGGGGCGGGCGGGGGGGGGGACTAAGCATGCATGTGCGCAGGGGTGGTCCTAAGCATGCATGTGCGCATGCTCCACCCCCCAGGTGGACAACTCTGCAGGGGAAGGGGAAGGGGAAGGGGCAGGGGGAGGGAAAAGGGCCAGGTGGAGAAGGGAGTGGGGCTGGGCCCCACTGTGCTCATGTGGCTGCCCCTTCCCCTACGCCCAGGGTTGTTGCTCAGTGCTGGCATCCCCCATGCCAACGAATCTACCACCGCCCCCTAGCCTTGCACTGGCCCTGGCTGCCTCTGCACTGGCTCCGGTCCTGCAGCACTTGGGAGGGGCCAGAGTGGGGCCAGCCTAGTCTGTACCACAGGGCTGAAAGGGATGGAGCCCCTGGGACTCCCCGCACCCACCCTACACACATCCTGGGAGGCATGGGGGGCACGTGCCCCTGGATCTGCACGGGGCAGGGCAGGATGCTGTTGCAGGCTGGGGGTGGGGCCGGGGCAGTGCCAAGCTGTTCCCACCGGGGGATGGCTGTGCTGTACTCCAGACAGGGGGCAGTGGTGCTGGGACTGGTCCACCTCACTGCCTGACCCACCTAGTGGCAGGACACACATGGTGCCACACCACTTTCAAAACAGCAGCAGCAAGGCACAGAGGCAGGGAGCAGAGCCCAGCCAGCAGCTGCAGCCTACCCTTGCCCTGTGCACAGATGTAAGGGCCACGTGCCACCCCCCCCACCCCCCATGAATGGGGCCCTGGCCAGGCCGGGTCATGGGACAATCCCCACAGTGCAGGAGGGAGTAGGGCAGGGGTAGGGCTAAATGATTCACTCCCTTCTCCAATGTGGGGGTCTTGATCTGCTCCCCCCCACAACCCAGGCAGTCATGAAGAAAGTAGATTGAAATAAATTTACCTGCCTCCTGGGCCAGCTGCAGTCCTGGCTTCACAGGGTTTCTGAGTGTGCATGCCCCTTCCCCTCTACTGCAGCAGTTTGGAGGGCTGAGTCCTGGTAGCACCTCTCCCCACTCCTACCATCTATGCTCAGGGTATCTGTAGATGTGCTGGGAGGCTGCTCTGACCTGCTGTAATGACAACGTGTTGGAGCGGACTCAACTGAGTCTGTTGGAGCGTGCTAATTAGTGTGCTCCAGCCAGCCTCCACATCTTGTGTATCAGCATCCCCACGTTTCAATATGGCTGTGGGGGCATTTTAACTAAAGCTTATCAACCACCACCTTTGTGAAACTCAGGAATGCTGATACATGAGACACTGCTGGCACTTGAATTACAGCGGTTCTCAGAGCCACTTTAATTAAAGCGCCCCCCACCATCACCCCCGAAGCACATGTAAAAACACCCTCAAAGTCTGATTAAGCTTCCTGGAATAATTTATAATATACCTTTTTCTTGAGCAGAGCCATGAAAAGGGCTACTAGCTACGAGAATCTACTATTGAAACACTCTTAAAAATTGGCAAAAAACAAGGAAGCACTCAATTTCACATGTATCTTGCTGGGAAGCCCATTCCATGGTTACTGCTATTTTGCATGGCTCCATGTTTAATCCCTTGTGGAAATTATATATATTTAGGAAGTCGATGGAAGTGGAATTTTCATTTTTATGCCTCAGCATAGACCTGTTTTTCATGGAGCCTCTCTAGAACATGTCACATCTGTTTGATGTGGAATCAAGATTCTCATAGTAAATGTTATCCAGGTACTTGATGACATGCTGATCTATCATACTGTGGAAAAGCTGTTGACTAAGCTATTTTAGATACCTCATCCCTCTGGATCCAGACAGGTTGTTGTTTCCCTGGAGATGGTACATTCAGAAAGTACAGTCATTAGTGGCAAAGGATAGTGGTGTAATGAGCTCAGATCAGGACCCAGGGCTTAGCCAATCACAATCAAATCATCAGGACAGTCCATCCCGAGGCTGCAGGGAAACAACCGCCACCTGTAGCAAGTTTGTATCAACACCCTGGGCCAGCCAGTCCTAACTGGGTGACCAGGGTAACCAATCCCCTGAGGCCACAGGTAGCAGGCCTGCCTACCCCCTGATCCCTAACTGTTTGTCTGCACATTTTCAGCCTCCTCACAGGGAGTGACCTAGTGAAATATGGTGGAGATATGGACCCCAGTCTACCCTTGCAGCCTTATCCAAAGCCTTATGGCCTCAGAATAGGTTGACTACCTTCAGCAGGTAATTCAGCAGTTCCCGACCTGGTTGTCCAACTGCAGGAGAAAAAACAGGACTTGTTGGGCCTCCTTGAGGAAGCATGGGCCCAAGCTGGCACCATGCAAGGGTTGAATGGGGTGCTACAGGCCCAGATAGTTCCTCTGCAGCCAGACTGCTATCCTATAGTCACAGCAGGACTCACCACTAGTGGCAGAGGCTTCTGCTCTAGCTACTCCTCTACATATCCTTGAGCACAAGTGTCTGCACCCAGAGTGCTTCAGGGAGGACCTGAAGAAGTTCCTGGGGTTTCTGAATCAGTGCTGCCTCTGGTTCATACTTTGCCCCCATGCCTACCCCACAGATCAGGCCAAGGTGGGATTGTTTATCAGCCTGCTCATAGGGAGTTCCCTGGCCTGGGCATCCATGCTTTTGGATACCTTCAGTCCCCCCTTGAGTAACCTGGAAGGACTCTTGCAGGCTATATCCCAAATATACACAGGCCCTCTCTAGTCACAAATGGCAGAAGCAACCCTATAGTCCCTGCAGGAGGGCAGTTGGCCTGTGAGCCAGTATAGTGCAGACTCTCAGCAGTTGGCTGCTAAGATCACTGAGATTTAGACAGTCCACAGAAAATGTGCATGCCCCCAGTTTGGTCCGAGCATTCCACCAGGCCCATCCAGAGAAGCCTGGAGCCCAGAGGCTGCCCTAGAAAGGGGAAGTACTATAACAAGCTCAGGTCAGGTTGCAAGACCCCGCTAATCCCAGTCAAATCATTAGGCAACCTATTCTGTGCAGGGAAATAAGCCCCATGTGCAGCCAGCTTGGATCAGTGCCCTAGACCCAGCCAGTCCTAATTGGGCAATCAAGGCAACCAGTCCACTGAGGCCACAGGCAACAGGCCCTACCCCGGACGTGGTGCCTAACAAGTGATTGTGTGTAACTGCTGGTTTCAGAGCTCAGTAGTTAACATGGGGGCAGGGGCCCATCAGAACTAAAACTTTTTGTGTGTGCCAGTATACATCTGGATCATGCAGGACAAGTTAGAATATTTAGAAGTGAAGAGACCAGATTAAACAGACTGGCAAGCCCTGGCAGAGTCCAGACCCATGAAATTCCTGGATGCCTCCAAAAAAACTGTGGTCCACTAAACAAAACTGCTCATAGCAGGATGGGAGAGCATTACCTAGAGCTAGAAGTATGGTTGAGTAGGCAGCTTTTGGAAAGTGCAGAAGGGGAGACAGTGGTTGAACCAAGATGTATGTGCATCTTGCCCAAACCTGACCCCTTTTTTTGGACTGGAATAAATTTCCTGAACTTCTAGGAACTCTTTACTTAAAAGTCAAAAAATAGCAAAATGGCCTCGCTCCCCACATGAGAGGCATGAACCTTCCCAAACCCATCACCTCCCTTCTGGTGAGAAGGGAGTCTGTACAATGTCCACCTCCATCAAGATCCATTAGGGTTGGCCAGGTGCAGGCCAGAGCTTCATGGAGATACCTAGACAAGCCAGCCCATTCCTAGTGCCATTCACTCAAACTGCAGTCAGTCCAGATATGCACATCAGTATATGAGTCCACCTTGGCAGGGGCTTCAATTCACATGAACTTGACTTTAATTTCTTCATTCAGGCCCTGGTAGAAGTAGTGGAGATGCACGGCTTAGTTCCACTGTGTATCTACAACTAAGCACTGGAATTCAGCTGCATTTCTAGCAACTAGTCATTGGCCTTGTCTGAAGATCTGCAAGGCTGCCTCTGCTGAGCACATAGTGCAGAACATCAGAGGAAACCTCCACAGTCTGAATGAAGTCCTTGCAGTTATTCAGCAGAGGCCAGGATCCTTCCAGGACCAGGGAAGCCTGGGCAAGCCCAGTCAATAAGCTAATTACTGTCACAATGCTGGCCTTGTCCATCAGCTTAACAAGAGACGAGAACTGAATTTATCAAGCAGAGGTGCCTTCAGCTCACAAGTCAGTAGTTCGGTCAGAGTTGGCAGGACTACAAAAAGTGCTTGGTTAGCCAGCTCTTTGTCCCTGCAGGGTATGGAACTATACGTGCATGCCAGTGTTCAAAACTTGCAGAGCAATCTCTTGGGCTTGCAAATTGTACGTCCTGGCTGCCATAGCCTAAAAATAAGGCACCTAAAAGGCCAATCTAGATTTTGCCATTTTTTTCCACTGTCTTCAATAGGTTCTGGGCCTAACCTGAAAACAAGAGTTGCAGAGAAGAAATTTTATTTCATAGAGGGGAAAATAGTTATTTCCAGGTCAAAATTATTAACTATTACATATAGAACACAGAACTTGGTTGGAAAGGTTTATTCTGTTTCGTCTTCAGAAATTCTAAGGTGTTGTGTAAGTACAGCTTTAAGACGCATTGTGAAGCAAAGAAAGGAACTCAGTTCTTCAATAAGACTTAACCTTTATTTAAAAATTTCATTTAACAGAACTCTCCCAGTAATATGAGCATGAGTAATCAGCCTGGCACTCCCCGGGATGACGGTGAAATGGGTGGAAACTTTCTAAACCCTTTTCAGAGTGAGAGTGTAAGTATCTTTTTGACTCTTCTGTTTGGCAGACACTCAGTCACTAGTCTTATCATCTGTTATCTCTATATTTTTACTAGATCCTAATATTATAATATGGATCTGCTGAACAAACTGTTGTGCTAAATAACGTCAGTAAATTTAGAGCCAAGAGACAGAGTTACTACAGAAATCCATGAGTAGTGGATGAAAATTAGATGTACATCAGTATTATCCTAGATTCACACACATACTTATTTGGTAATGAATGATGGGATGTGCATTTGGCAGTTAAAATCGAAACAGTGTAGACATGAATATTCAGCCAGTCATTCAAAAGCAGTCTCTGAGGTAGGATGTGTCAGTTTGTGGCTGCCCAACTTTTCACCTTCCTTGATAGTATATTTTGTAAAGTAGGAATGTCTTTCAAAACATGATCCACACTTAAGTACCAGAAAATCTATAAGATTTTATAAAAAGCCATGATGTGGTTTTAGGTACAGGAAAGCAAACACCCCCTCTAGTGTTCATTATGTGACAAATGAGACTTTTCATAAAAGTGCCAGATCTTGAGGCTAAACAAATATTGTTTACAATACTAAACTATTTTAAATCAAGAAAATAGTGAAGAACATTGTCATATCCAGGTGCCTAAAGTTAGATTTCTAAATCCATATTTTGGTTCCTATATAGAAATGGCCTGATTTTTCAGAAGTGCTGAGTAGCTTCGGAACTTGTATTCTGACTGGAATTAACTTCTGTCAGACCCAAGAGCAATTCCATTTATTATGCCACTGTAGAATTTAGCCCAGTTGCTATGAAGATTGAATGTTGTTTCTTCTAATTCATACCACAGCCAAAATCCTCAGCATGTTTTATGAAATTGATTACATTTTTATTTTGCTTCTTCAACAAACATACAAATATGAAGAATGATCAATTTTCTATATTTTAGCCATCCACTGTTCAATAACTTTGAACAAAAGGTCCTCACCTAGAGAGGTATGTTTCATAATTTGCAAAAGAGTAGCAACTAAACCGCATCAGATTTGATTTATAGTCATGGCAGTGCTTGACTCTAAATTCAGCTTACTCAACTTGTACTGTATGCCAACAATCTGACTGAACAGACAGAAGCCAGTCCACTAAACTAGGCTCATTAAAAGAACAGCAAGTAGTATCAGTTATATGCCACAGAAAATATTGGTTCTCTCAGACATTCCTGTATACTTAATTGTTTTAGCTACTGGTTTTTTTACCTGAATCAATTCCTGATCTGGCTTGTAGAAATTTTGCTATACCTCTTACTGTACTTCAAGATGCCTGTCTCACTCACAAGCCAGAGTTTAGTTTCTTGAGTCTCTTTCATGCTTTCTCAACCACCCCTGCCACTTCTTTTCTTGGCTACTTAGAAAGAATATTATCAGTGAGCTAAATTCTGAGTTCTTTCCTCAGGCAAAATTCCCATTCAGTTCACCAGGAGGTTTGAATCAAAATAAGGACAGCACTAGTAGTGATAATGTGATTACTATTACTATGTTGTGGTATGATTGAATCATTATAATTACAATTATATATAATTAATGTATATTTAATAAAATAATGCAAGTAGTAGTAGTAATAGCAGCAATTTGTACAGTACTTAATCTGTATATAAACAAAGAATTTATTCCCTGGCCCAAATGCGTATGCTGTTGTTGCATACTCTGGTTGTAATCCAAAAAGCTTTAAGACTTTTCCTATCTTTAAACACCTGAGTGGTCCTTTTCAATGACTTACATGCTTAAGGCTTTATTGAATAAGCTTTGCCGAATCCAAGTGAGAGTCTGCAGCACCTGGCAAAAGCAAGACCCAAAACAGACAAGATCAACAAAGAAAAGGCGAGACCTCAGGCAAACTAGGTTTCCCCCGGTTAGTCTGTTCGAAGCAATTTGCATTAGAGCTAGGTACAGGCAGTCAAAAAGCCCAAGGCTGAATCATTTTAATCTTCGCAGGTTAGTCTACACTGCGTAGATTGAACTGATAAGCAAGTGAACAGACATTCACTTTTGATTCTGGAAATGCAGCCACATGACTGCAGTGGCCCAGACCAGAAACTGCAGGGGGGTGGGAGGGTGGCACTAGAATACGCCTCTCTGCTTAGCTGGAGCAGACAGCTTGGGCCAAGCCTAGCCCACCAGCCCTGCAAAGGGGTGGGGAGGGAGTGTTTATGGGGGAGGTGCAAAGCATCCTGGGGTGCTGGAGGACTGCTGAGTTAACTTGAATCTGGAGGGGATCTGGGACACAAGTTCAATAAACCGATATAACCTAAATCAATTAAGTCTGATACTACATCCATCCAGGTTTATCTTAAACCAGTTTCGGCCATTTTGAAAGTGGTTTATGTGCACTTGAACTTCTGTTGTATCATAGAGTTGAATCAGTTCTGATCACTTATAATGGTTTATGTGTAATTTCTGTCCCTAGCCAAGAAGTATGACTTAACCAAAACACTGGTTCTGAAAACTTTGGAACCTGGAGAATAGGCAGACCCAGAGATTTATCCTTTAGCTGATTTCTTATTATGTATCAGCATGTAGAAAGGCAAAATTAATGTTTTTGCTATATCTCACAGACAATTCCAATTAAAAAAACAGTGAGACTACTGGAGGCTTTGTGGTATCTCATCAGTAACTTGTGATGAGGTACTGTTACTTTGAGGGGGGCTGTAGCTTGAAACAGGGCTGCAGTTCAGTATGTGTTACGATAATAAGGCAATATAATGTGATGGCAGGATTTTCAGTTCATAGAAAAAGCATAATAACTGATATTTGATATAACCAACTTCTGAAAGATTAAGCCAAAGGCCTAATTTCATTTCAGTAAGGCATTTTTCCAACACCTTTCCCCACAAGTGGTGAAATGCCAGCTCCAGTGATGTGAACACCCAGCTACCATGCTCTGCAAGCATATCTGCCATCAGCTTATGCATATACCCTAAGTAGCCCCAGCACTGACTAGTGAAGAGCAAGTTAGGGCACTTAAGGAAGAGCTGCTATAATTGCATCAGCCAGGCAGTATCAGCAAACGCTAACATTTATTTTCTGCTCATGATTTACTTATTCATTTCATAAGTTTTGTTGTAATTTAGATGGAAAGAAATTTAAATATATAATTAATTATTGTAGCACAAACTGAACAACAGTCCTGACAAATTTAAAAGGATAAAAATAAAAGAGCAATGAATTGAAATTCAAATTCATTGTTTTGTTCCAGAAGCGAATGTAGTGGCCTGTGAAAGAATTGTTAAAATGTGGATTCCTCTTTTCCAGTACTCCCCTAGCATGACAATGAGTGTGTGATCCATTACCAAGTCTCCTCATGAAGACCGCAGTGAGTTGGCCCTCTTCAGAGAGCTACTACAGAAGAAAATTACTCGTCCCAGTGTACAGTTTAACAAAAGGATCTCAGACACAATCAGACCCACCATTTTTCCTACCATCTCCCCAGTTTTGTCAAGAAAGTGGGTCCAAAAATGATTCCAACAACTGTAAAGAGTGGCATAAGAGAACTGCCCAAGACTGAACTGCAAACAATTTTCTGTGTATGTACATGTACGGGTAGATGTATATATGTGTGCCTGTGTGCTTGTGTGTGCACTATATAGACATACACACACACACATACATATATAGACCCGCAGGACATTGTAAAATATTATCACATGACATCTTAAGTAGAAATAAGAAGTAGGGACTTTTATTCCATCTTTTTTTCACGTTTACATTTTAACTATTAAAATTTGCTTTCCCTCTCCCCTCCTGAACTGTTTTGTGCTGCATATATCACTGCTTTATAAGTTATTTTTTAAGGTGAACTCAAATGATAAATTGTCTGATTTTGTAAATGTCTGCCATTATGGATAGGAATAAAATTGCTTATAAGAGGGCTTTCATTAACTTGTGTTTGATACCAGTTATCCTGTGAATCATATTCTGTGCTGTCTCAAGAAATAGAAGAAAGCTCATTTTAATTTTTTGGAGAAATTTAATAATTTTTCATCAAGCCTTGGTGACATTTTTTATACTTTGCCTTTAAAAAAAGAAGCACTGATGGTTATTTTCTTCCTTAATTGAAGCCTAATTATCTGCAATATCTATTTTAAATGGAAGCCTGAATTTGATACAAGCTTCTTGGTTTATACAGAGTACTTTAAGGTTGCTGTAAGTGAGTTCCAGTTGCTATAGAATCTAGCAATAAAGTGTCAGGGCTGCTTCTGCCCTTGGAAATGAGTTTTCTACTTAGCATGATCTTCCGTAGGGGTGGTAGTTAGTAGAAATACAGTAGAATTCTTACTACTGAAACCTCCTTTTCTAACAAACTGCTGGTGTCCCTCCCTTTTCTACTGATTCTTAGCTGATTCCCAATTATCCATAGTCCTGATTGTCTTAACATACTTAGTGTCTCCCAAGCCATTCAGATAATCAGGACTCCACCGTACATGAATGTGTTACTTTTCACTAGAAATACTGGAACAGAACTTCTAAAAATCTTTCTGTATGTGTAATCATATAGGTAAACCAAAATACCTGAGCATTTCATGGTTATGACCCATGCTGAGAGCATTGGAAGGCTTAAGCCTTTCTGCCAGATATAGGATGTCAACAGAGGTCTGAACCCATTCTGTAAGGAGTTCAGTATACTGTATTTCAAAGCTGTGGAGATAGTGGAAAAAAGGAGAATGGTGATACGGCTTCCTTAACATTAAAAAAAAAAAAAAAGCCTTTTGAAGGAGACTCCCTTAAAGTGAAGCTCTAACTTCTGAGGACCTGAGGTTATGTTAAATTTAGTGCCCTATGACTCCCACCTTTCCCAAGAAAATGAAAGATTGCAGCTGTACGTATGGTGTTAGGAAGGCTGATGTTCAGGATCTCAGGCACAAAGTGGCTGAATTAAACTCACGCTGCAGGTTTAGAACAAAGTTCTCATCTTTGCATGTGGGAGGTCCAGATACATAGGGAGAGAAAAGCATCAAGTACAGT